TTTTTTTTTTTTTGCATTGCATTGCTTAAGTAAAATTTAGAAATTAAACAAAAAAAAAAATGGCTAAAAAAAAAGAATTAGTTTTTAAGTAATTGAATTGTACAAAATGTCCATATGTGTACCGCACATTTTCTCAGTCAGCTGTTACACTGCTTTTGCGCCGTATACCGACAGTTCACAGAGACAAAAAAAAGAACAAAAAACTGTTTTATTAGTGGAACCCTAAAAGGTTTAAATTCTTTTTGGAATTTTTAACAGCTTAAATTTTAATAAACCGTATAGCAGTAAAGATGATAATAGTTAGTAGCCGTATTGATGGCAATGACTGATCACCGACTGACAACAATTTGAACAAATAGTAAACCGTAACACTTAGGCTATCTGAGAAAAGTTGGAGTGAAAAATTTGAGAAATTCAGAAGAAAATTGGCACGAGAAACAAAGGATTACTGAGTAATACTAAAGCATCAAGAAGAAATTTACATAGAACAGATATATTCATAAGTATTTCTGAGTTAATATATGTATCCGTGGCACTTTTTTTACTTTTAATTCTTTTGTTTCTAAGCAATTTTAAAGTTATCTATTTGATTTCTGCTTGTTTTTTCTATTATTATGGTCATTATTCTTACTATTATTATTATTATAATTGTTATTATTATTATTATCGTTATCATTATTACCATCATTATTATTAGTATTTTTACTTAGTTTTTTTTTCTTTTTTTTTTTCCAAAATTGCCTTCAGAATTCCAGGAATGCTCCGGGAAATCTAGAAAAACAAGCAAACTACTGATTTAGTTATCAGAGCATTATTATTATAATTATAATTATTTTTATTTTTATTCTTCTCATCATTATAATATCTTATTTGATAATATCACTGTAGGTGTTGTTGGCATGAAACTCAGCAGCAGCAGCAGCAGTAGCAACATAGGAAACCAAAGCATTAGCCAAGCCGTTTCCACTACTTTTCCCCATCTTTCCGCTGTCTTTCTTCTCAGCTATCTTTTTACCCTCCGTACCCCTATTTTTGTTCCACCTTTCGCCTGTGCTCTGTTCTCCCTTATTTTCCACGCTAAATAAAACCAGTCTCCCATCGTTGGTATTCTTCAGCTACAAAAAATTTTTTTCAATTATTATTATTATTATTATTTTTTTGCTATTTCTTTTGATGTTGCTGCTGTTACAACTCTTGCCACATTAGTGCTTTTGTTATTACTGGTGCTAACAATGCTGTTTTAAAGAAAAAAAAAAAAAACAGAAAAAGTGTTGTCATCGGCACCGTTAAAAACGAATGAAAAGCCAGCTACGTTTTCTACTTTTTTTTTTTTGCCCTAAATTTTTTTTTATTTCTAATTTGTTAAGAAAAAAAAAGAGAAAAGAAGAAAAAAATTAAGGAGTGAAGTATAAAAAAAAGCGCAGAGTCTTAGCTGATGATCTATGTTGTAAAACTTTAATAGGAGGCTACATAACATCAGCATTTAGCGTATATTTTTTCAATACAGATTAAGACAATTTTGCTATTTGAAATGATCTTTCTTTTATTGCTGATAAACGTATCTACCAATCTTTTTTCACTTTTCCTCTTTTTTTTTTTTTTTTTTTTT